GGCTTCATCCCTGGGATGCAAGGCTGGTTCAACATATGCAAATCAATAAACATAATCTAGCATATCAACAGAACCAAAGACAAGAACCACATGATTATCTCAATGGATGCAGAAAAGGCCTTTGGCAAAATTCAACAGCCCTTCATGTTAAAAACTCTCAATAAAATTGGCATCTCAAAATAATAAGAGCTATTTATGACAGACCTACAGTCAATATCATACTGAATGGGCAAAAACTGGAAGCATTCCCTTTGAAAACTGGCACAAGACAGGGATGTTCTCTCTCACCACTTCTATTCTACATAGTGTTGGAAGTTCTGGCTAGGGCAATGAGGCAAGAGAAAGAAATCAAGGGTTTCAGTTAGGAAAAGAAGAAGTCAAATTGTGTGTGTTTGCAGATGACATGATTGTATATTTAGAAAACCCCATTGTCTCAGCCCAAAATCTCCTTAAGCTGATAAGCAACTTCAGCAAAGTCTCAGGATACAAAATCAAGATGCAAAAATCACAAGCATTCTTATACACCAGTAACAGACAAACAGAGAGCCAAATCATGAATGAACTCCCATTCATAATAGCTTCAAAGAGAATAAAATACCTAGGAATCCAACTTACAAGGGATGTAAAGGACCTCTTCAAGGAGAACTACAAACCACTGCTCAGTGAAATAAAAGAGGACACAAACAAATGGAAGAACATATCATGCTCATGGATAGGAAAAATCAATATTGTGAAAATGGCCATACTGCCCAAGGTAATTTATAGATTCAATGCCAACCCCATCAAGCTACCAATGACTTTCTTCATAGAATTGGAAAAAACTGCTTTAAAGTTCATATGGAACCAAAAGAGAGCCCACATTGCCAAGATACTCCTAAGCCAAAAGAACAAAGCTGGAGGCATCACGCCACCTGACTTCAAACTTTACTACACGGCTACAGTAACCAAAACAGCTGGTTTGGTACAGTACCAAAATAGAGATATAGACCAATGGAACAGAACAGAGCCCTCAGAAATAGTACCACACATCTACAACCATCTGATCTTTGACAAACCTGACAAAAACAAGAAATGGGGAAAGGATTCCCTATTTAATAAATGGTGCTGGGAAAATTGGCTAGCCATAAGTAGAAAGCTGAAACTGGATCCTTTCCTTACTCCTTATACAAAAATAATTCAAGATGGATTAGAGACTTAAATGTTAGACCTAAAACCATAAAAACCCTAGAAGAAAACCTAGGGAATACCATTCAGGATATCGGCACGGGCAAGTACTTCAAGTCTAAAGCACCAAAAGCAATGGCAACAAAAGCTAAAATCTACAAATGGGATCTAATTAAACTAAAGAGCTTCTTCACAGCAAAAGAAACTGCCATCACAGTGAAGAGGCAACTACAGAATGGGAGAAAATATTTTCAATTACTTCATCTGACAAAGGGCTAACATTCAGACTATAAAGACTCAATCAAATTTTATAAGGAAAAAAACAAAAACCCCATCAAAAAATGGGCAAAGGATATGAACAGACACTTCTCAAAGAAAACAATTTCTTTTGCTGTGCAGAAGCCTTTAGTTTAATTTAAGATTCCCATTTGTCAATTTGGCTTTTGCTGCCGTTTGCTTTTGGTGTTTTAGACATGAAGTCTTTGCCATGCCTATGTCCTGAATGGTACTACCTAGGTTTTCCTCTAGGGTTTTATGGTATATAGGTTAACATTTAAGTCTCTAACCATTTTGAATTAATTTTCGTATTATAAGGAGTAGGAAAAGGATCCAGTCAGCTTTCTACATATGGCTTAGCCAATTTTTCCCAGCACCCAGCGAGGGGGAGGGGATGCATTGGAGTAATACCTGATGTAAATGACGGGTTGATGGTGCTGACGGAGTTGATGGGGCAGGCCACAGCAACATGGGCACAAGTATACATATGTAACAAAGCTGCACGTTATGACCATGTATCCTAGAAACTTAAAAGTATAATAATAATAATAATAATAAGAAAACATACAGCCAACAGACACATGAAAAAATGCTCATCATCACTCGCCATCAGAGGAAAATGGCAAATCAAAACCACAATGGAGATACAACTCACACCAATTAGAATGGCAATCATTAAAAAATCAGGAAACAACAGGTGCTGGAGAGGTTGTAGAGAAATAGGAACTTTTACGCTGTTGGTGGTACTGTAAACTAGTTCAACCATTGTGGAAAACAGTGTGGCAATTCCTCAGGGATCTAGAACTAGAAATAACATTTGACCCAGCCATCCCATTACTGGGGATATACCCAAACGATTATAAGTCATGCTACTATAAAGACACATGCACACATATGCTTATTGCGGCACTATTCACAATAGCAAAGACTTGGAATAAACACAAATGTCCATCAGTGACAGACTGGATTAAGAAAATATGGCACATATACACCATGGAATACTATGCAGCCATAAAAAAGGATGAGTTTGTGCCCTTTGTAGGGATATGGATGCAGCTGGAAACCATCATTCTCAGCAAACTATCACAAGAACAGAAAACCAAATACCGCATGTTCTCACTCATAGGTGGGAATTGAACAATGAGATCACTTGGACACAGGAAGGGGAACATCTCACACTGGTTCCTATTGTGGGAAGGGGGTCGGGGAGAGGGATAGCATTAGGAGATATACCTAATGTAAATGATGAGTTAATGGGTGCAGCACACCATCATGGCACATGTATATATATGTAACAAACCTGCACGTTGTGCACATGTATCCTAGAACTGAAAGTATAATTAAAAAAAAGAAAGAAATGCAAATTTACACTACAGTGCTATAACATTTCATAGCCACTCAATTTGTAAATATTAAAATGTGACATCACCAATCATTAACAACATGTAAACAAAGAAGGAACTGTTGATATAAATGTATATTAGAATAAACACTGTAGGAAACCTTCTAAGAGTAGAATATGCACGATATCCCAGAATACCCATTTGTACTTACATATACTAGAGAAAGTCAAATAGCTTTACTGTAAAAATGTCATATCACTGCTTGAATATATGAATTTTTGGCTATCACTATATTTACTTTCTATTTTAAAATAAAATTGTATAATTACTTTGAGTCAAATGATTGATTCCAATGTAAATATTAATATTGATATAGGAGTTAAGAAAAAATTGTTTAGGCAGATAATGCGGGTACAGTTGTCAATGGTAAGATTTTTCCTTCTAATGAAAAGCAGCCCCCAAATCCTTTTCTTTCTAATAAGAAGAGCCTATAAAATTGAACTGCAAACATAGACAAGCAAGCTGGAAGCTTGCAAGGTGAATGCCAGCAGTCGTGCCAATAGGAAAAGGCTACCTGGGACTAGGCATGTTCATATGGCAGCTGCATCTTTCCTTCTCTTTGCCAGCCATGTGTACAGTAAGGAGAAGGCAACACGACGCTGGCCAGGCAAAGATCCCATTTGCTTTATAACATTAGGGTGTGGCGGCCAACTTCCCGGCATATTATGTAAATATCACTCCTGGTCTAACCAATCTTTGGGCCCTATTTAAATCAGACACTGTTTCCTCAAGGCTGTTTATAAAATCCAGTGCACCCCACCAGGGGCAGGGATTCACTTTCAGGTGCCGTTCTCTCTCACGAGAGAGGAAGCTGTCCTTTCTCTTTCTTTTGCCTATTAAACCTGTGCCCCTAAACGCAATCCGTGTGTGTGTCCATGCCCTTAATCTTCTTGGTGTGAGATAATGAACCTCGGGTATTTACCCAGACAGTGATGCCGCTTCATTATGACTTAATTTAACCAACAAGTATTGTGTTCAAATTATTTTACTGTATTCTTGACTAATGCCCATTAATAGGATAATTTATTTTACTATGTACTTATCAAGAAATTTGTATATTTATTTATACACAATTGAAAAACCAAAAATGAAATAGGTCTGCTGGCAAAACAAGTTGACATAAACATTTTGCCACAGTTAATATAGATGAGTATTAGAATGTCATCTCTGTTATTTAGAAAGACATGAACATGCTGGGATCTCAGAGCAGTGTACTTACTGACACGGATGCATCTGGGAGTAAGAGACCAGCCATTCTCTGTACATGTAACTGTAGTCTGCTCTTTTGGAAGACTGTAGCCAGGATGGCAGGCAACTTCTATAGCGTTACCCTGTACAAACTTTCTTCCATTATTTTCATTATATCCATTTGCCAAATAAGGAAAGTAACATTTTCCTGAGGACCATAACAATGATAAATAAATAAAGTAAAGGAGAAGCATAAATTTGCTCAAAATAGTATATGAAAATTATTTTTACAATATTTAAATAAGATTGCATAAACATCCAAAAATAATGTATAACTGAAGACGAACTGAAGTGACTAACAAAGGTTTGTACAAAAAGAAATATCAATATTCAATATTACTTATCTTTAGTTTTTGTAATTAAAAGATGTATAAATTACATAGATATTCTCATCAAGTCCCTATATTTATTTCTTCTGTGATTTTCAAGAAGAAATCCTCATAATAGGAAAGAACTATTTTGGTCATTTTGCTTGAACAACTCTTTTCTTGGCCCTATTTCTGTTACATAAGACAAGTGTAATCACTTAAGTGCCCTCCTCTCTTCGATCTTTGAAAGTTTTATACATGTATAGCAGTTCAGAGGTTTACTTACTGAGGCATGGTATTGCTGGTGACCACCCATCTTGTGTGCAATGAATGTAATCCCAGGAACTTCCTGAAGGAGTCTCAAAAGAGTCATCACAGTGATAGGAGTAATATTTTCCTACAGGTACTGGAAAGTATGGTCTACGCATGCTCTCATAATATAGTCCTCCATGTTTAATGTCTGGATAATCACAAGGTCTCACTTGCAACAAAAATTAAAGAAAGTATAAAGAAGTTTTACCGTAACAAATAATCATATTAGAGATAAATTTTTATCACTGAATTATATTCTCTTCTTAGTATAATTACACATTCCATTAGGGTTTCTAGGTCAAAACAAATGATAGAACTGATGACTGAGATATGTGACGAGAAGGTCTTTGTTAATGAAGATGAAATTATGTCTGTGGATCATATGATGCGTAAATTTGTATGAAGGCTCTCCAGAAAGAAAAATGTACAGACCTATTTAATGTATTTCCCTTTAATACACATACCTTATCTCTGGCTAATTAAACAAGGTTTTCGATGGAGAAATATGTCAGTGTTACTGCTTAGCTCATGTATTTCTTTTTTTTTTTTTCTATTCTCTTCAGTAAACAAGAGCCCTGCATTTTCTTCTCAGAACAACTCAATGTAAGGAGGTAGTATTTTGAGGGATTTAAGGTTTTTATTTGTTTTAGATTGAATTCATGGGCTGGGCGCAGTGACTCACACCTGTAATCCCAGCAGTTTAGAAGGCTCAAACAGGCAGATCTCTTGAGGTAAGGAGTTTGAGACCAGTCGGGCCAACATGATGAAACCCTGTCTCTACTAAAAATGAAAAAAAAAAAATTAGCCCAGTCTGGTGGTGCACCCCTGTAATTCCAGCTACTTAGAAGGCAGAGGCAGGAGAATCGCTTGAACTCAGGAGGCAGAGGTTGTAGTGAATCGAGATTGTGTCATTGCACTCCAGCATGGGTTACAGAGTGAGACTCCATCTCGAAAAATCTAAATAAATAAATAAATAAGACGCTTTCCTATTTATTTAAGACAATATAAAAATATACAGAAACACAAAAATTTTTCTTTGATGATGCCACACAGAAAAATAACAGTTAATTCATGCCTCAAACAATTCATTGAGCCAAATTCTCCAGTCTTTATTTAACCAGAGAAACAGACTAGAAATATTTCTTCATATCCAAATAGTTAAGATTTTGATGAACATTTTTTGTTTATTCCCAATTTTAATTGGACAGCAAAATAATTTTAATGTCATAAACTATGTTTAAATAAGGTACAATATAATTACATTTTACCGAGTTACTATATATTTATTTTGACAAATACATTTGAGTGCTATCTTGCTTATCATATTAACAGGTTTATATATTTTCCAGAAAATTTGCTCTTTTCATGAGATTATTTATGACCATCTAGCACTTTCAATAACAAAATGGTATTAATGTTTTCCATGAAAGTTGATTCAGTTTTAATAAACCTTATGCAATAGGTTAAAAAGAATTTCAATACACACATACACACACACACACACTCATGTAAATATTCTTTTTCATCTCCCTCTTTCTTAAATTCAGTGATTTATTTTCTTTGGTATTTGATTAGAGAAATTTTCATGTAGTTTCTACAAATATTTATTATGTGGATTATAAACTGAATAATTGTATATCCTAAGTGTCTTTCTCTAACAAAGACTAGTGAATGATACTTCTTTCAGTATAGTTTCTTGGCCTGCAATCCACATATCTTGTAATTGATAGATTTTTTTCCCTATTTATTGGAAGCTCCCAGTGTTGAAATTAAAACATTTACTTAGTCTTATCTCTTTTAAGTAACATTCTACATTTTTCCCCATCACTTTTTAAAGATTTGGAATGGTTTCTATTTACTATTGGACTTTGCTTAACAATAATTCTGCATTGGGAAAGCTTGAGTCTTAGATTTGCAGGAACTGTGTCTTAAAGATTTCAATTGAATTTCACATTACATGGTGGTTGATTTCAAAACAAGTATGAGTATCCATCTTATTACGGGTTTTCCCAGAATGTCATAAAATAAAATTGTCCACTGAGATTTCTTTCCAAAAGGAATAAAAAGGAGGTATAATTAAAAACGTATGTCATTATCACAGGCTCGAGCTATTTAGCTATTCTCTAAATTTGTCACATTTACATCTGTTTTTATCCATTTTACAAATTGATTCCTTGAAGCAAATATTAGTACCCACAGAGGGTCTCATCAGGGCTGAGAATAGAAGGACTTCAAATAGCCTCATTTCACTTGTTACCCTTCTGCAAATGTAGTTTTTGGTTTCACAGCATTTATGGTGCTTCCATCATAAAGTTGGCTCAGACAGATCTTGAAATTGATAAAAATATTCACTAATTTTTATAACTACTGCTAATATATTAATACTGTAATTTATTTGACCCAGGCCCAGGATCTTAGAATCAACATTGTTAAATTTTATCTTATTAGATTCAGCTTAGAACATAAGATTCTCTTTGAATGCTGAATCTGCCCTATTGCAGTTTCATTATCATCGTCTGTATCATTCCAATTTTTAATTTGTACTGCCCTTCCCCTAAATCATTAAAGTGTTCAATGACACAGTGAGTAATGAAGCAGGCCTGAGAATAAAGTCTTGCATCTGATAATTAGATATGGTTTATTTAATGAAATTACAAACTGAATTTATTAATAAGGGTAACATACATTCATAAACACACATACACATTTAATTCTGAGTAGTGAAAAAAATTGAGTTTTGGCAACTTCGAAAACTAAAGAATACTTCCAACAACCTTACTTTATATACACAATAAGACAAATATTTAGTTTTATTGAGTCCCCATTTTTATGCATTTAAAAGAAATTTCAGAATTAAGAAATGGGTCAAGATATGAATGGAACTTACAAGTACATCTTGGAGCAGGTATCCAGCCAGTGCTTGTGCATTTTGCTGTATTTCCCCAGGTTGCAGGATAAAAACCATTTATACACTGGTACCTGATTTCATCTCCAGTTCTGTGTTTAATCCTTAAAGGTGAGTAGACACCATTTGGAATATAAGGCACATTACATGTTTTTTCTGAAAAGAAAATGGATGTGTGGATAATGTAGAAATATCCATTAAAATTCATCATTTATACAAACATTTAAAAGTAGGTGTTATTTATTTGTCCTTAGCATAATACAAAATGGCATTAAAATGAACACATCATAGTATCCTTTCTGGTATGTCACTTATTTTTTCCTTCACTATATTGTCATCTGACATATTTGTACCTCCTGGGCTCTTAATCCCTTCTTCTCCAAAGTCATTCCATACTTCATGACTTTCCATAACTGGCAATGATCTCATCACATATAACTTCAATTCTTACTTTCATTTTCCTTCTATTCTTTGGTTTCTGTGGTTCTCATAAGGATTGTTTACAAATATTCAGGATTTCTTTTTTTTGGACAATTGATAGGACTGCACAACCCTTTCTCTTTGAAGTAACTGTGGCCATGTGATTGCATAAGAGACTATAATAAAAGTGGAAGTAGTATCTTTCACTTTAGAGAGAAGTTTTAAAAGCCATTGTGTGAATTTTTATTTTCTCTTTCCCAATGACACCGTGAGTAAAGAAGGACATGAAAAAAATGGTGTTTCTGTCACCTGATTCTTACAATTAATACAATGAGTAAAGTCCCTTCTGATCTACATTGAAAGTGAACATGAATGGAAATAAACTTTAGCCTTAATATCTTAAACATTGAGATATTGCATTACATTTTTCTTACTATAATAGGATAAAATAGCAGAGGGTTTGGAAAACCTTTTCTGTAAAGGGCCAGATAAAAGGTCTCTGCTGCAACAACTCAACTCTGCCATTACAGTACAAAAGTAGTGATAGACAATACATAAACAAATGAACATGGCAGTGTTTCAATAAAACTTTGTTTACACAAAGGGGGCAAGTTGTATTTTACCTGCAGTCTATAGTTTGCCATCCTTTGGCCCAGTGTGTCCTAATCTATAAAGCATCTTCTCATTCCTTTCCATTAACTCTGCTATATCTCAATATTGGATCCATTTGCAATATTCCTTTTAAAATAAAATACTATGCATTTTAAGTATTGTAGAAAAGCCATATGACCACTTATATTGGAGTCATATTTTATTTTGGACTAAAAAGCTGTGGTGGACATTCAGCATTGCTTGAAATCAATTTATATACCCCCAATTTATTTACTATTTGATTTCCCACAGTAAATGATCCATAGTCTCCTCACTTTTCTCAAGTCACCTGAAACAATTGCCTCTTCATCAACAGATAATAAGTCTCCATTCACACAAAACAATTGAGACCACCAGTAGTGAGCTCCCTATACTTCTTTCCAGCATTCCTCAACATTATCTGTATCTATACTGATTTAAGTATTTTGTTTAGTCTTCAGTGGTAAGGTGTTGCTTTCAAATTCAGGTTAGCTTTAATTCTTTCATTTTCCCCTGTATTTAAACCATAGTTTATTCCTTTCTTCTTTCTTACCTTATCAACCATGCTCTTAAATCGATATGGAAGCTTTTGCAGTTTAAATCCCTTCTCTCAACACTTTGTTCAAATTTAGCTAATGTACTACATTTCCCCACCTCTTCAAAACCAAAATCCTTAAAATACCATTTTGTAATTGCTATCTCCGCTTTCCAGTCTCACATTTAGTCTTCCACTCACTACTGCCTAGTTTCTGACACCTCTCTTTTGTTGTCATTGCTCTGATAAAAGCTACCAATTGGCTCCAATGTCCAAATTCAGAAATGCTTTGCATTTCACATATTCTAGTCACTGGTACATACTATGGGCTTCCTAATTATTTATTGAACTGAACAGATAAAACTCTGTAATATTTGACTCTGTTGATTATGGACTTTTTGGTGTTCTCCATTACCTCATATATTTATGTTCTCCTGCTTCTCCTTGTCTTTGTCTAAGTGATGCTTTTCTTTTATATTTTATTATTTTCCTTTACTTTGTATTTTTTGCTTCTCATCTTCTACTTTACTTAATTTTTAGGCCCTGCCTACTTGTCACATCTCATCTCCTGCCATTTTCCTACTTCTTCTCTATACTACCACCGTTCCTTTCTTATAACTTGTATATTTAGTTAAACATAAAATTTTATAAAGTTTTAATTATTCATTAAATATTTCCTCTTCTCAATACCATACTTCCACTGTGTCCATTCAGCTCCTAAGTTTATACTTCATTCTGACAGAATAAACTTTAATATATCTCTATAGCTAACAGGATAATATATCTAGATTAGCAATAATAATATGAGAAATAATATGTATGTGACTTAGTATACAAGTTTTAAAGTTTTACTATTTTAAAATTTTAGTATTTTATGTAAAATGTCTTCAGTGTTTGATGTTGACACTAACTTCAGATGAGTCTTAAATGTATTCCTTTTTTCTTTTTTTCTCTGTCACTTCATTCTTCTCTATCATATTTTCATATACTCATTAAAGTTCAGTTTATGTATCTTCAATTATTTTTCCTTATGATATAGCTCAATTTAATACCAATTTTTGAAGTCAAAAGCTATGAGATACAAAAAAACAAGAGTTTAACTAAGAAATCAATAAAATAATATGGAACAATTTTTTTAAGAATAGAAGGACTTCTGGTGATTATGCTCGAGCAGTAGACATAAATCCTGTGATAAACCTTAATTTCGTATACTCACAATCATTTTTAAAATAAATCATGTTATTAAAACATTGTTCAAACCTGTACCTTTATCCAAAATAATATTTGAGATTATCCATATTTTCCTACTATTGGAAATAAGCATTAGTCATTTGAAGTTAGAATACTAATTCAAGGTTAGCACTCTGTGTTTTGAACCAATAGAAAATCCAATCTGTACAGGGAAGAAATAGATTTGGATCAAAGATAGCTTTAATTTAACAGTTCTTGGTACCTTTGATTGTTTCTGTAAATAACTTTCTGTTACAGATTGTTCCTATTGGACACAGAGACCAAAGTTTTGACAATTCAATCAGTCCTCTTACATGTATGTGCCATAGACCAGATTGAAGAAAATTTAAGTATTTAAAATTTAAGTAGATTATTTTACTTTAATGTTATCTTATTATTTAGTTCCAAACTTCTTATAGATTTAGAAGCAACAAAGAGAGTTTGAAGTTACCTGATTTCAGAGAAAATGATGTGTATAGATTTTGAATTCATCTTATATCAGAAAGTAGATCTTTGCTTTGTACCAAGAAAACAGTCATATTTATGCTATATTGGCATACAAAGAGTGGAATTCTTTTATTAAGAAAGACTTCTCTATATCTAATCAGTGTAAAATATATTTCAATAAAATAAAACATGGTGAGAGAGTGTATGCTTAACTAACGTGGGATGAATTTTCCTTTATTTATATTGATTATTAGTGAACTGTCTTCTGAAAAGGAGTACTCAATCTCAGTGCCTTCTCTTGGTATCTCTTTTACTAAAGAAAGCAGGACCCTCAAGCACAGCCTTGAATATTCAGGTTTTACTTGTATTTGTGACTGAGAAATGGAAAAAAATATATAAAAGAAAAATGCTTTATAAATATAGAGTCTTTGGTTTGTGTGTGTGTGTGTGTGTATGTGTGTGTGTGTGAATCAATCAGTGTTCAAGAGAAGCAAGAATAGAAATGCAGTAACACATTTGGGAAAAACAGATGAATTTCTCATTGTGAAAACAAATATGTGCTAAGGAAGACTTTTAAGTAGGTAGCAAAGTGAACAAGTAAAAAAGGTGAAATAATCAGATGACTACAAGGAGGTAGTCATGCTACAGAGTTACATGTTCAAATAAAACTAAATTCCCAGAGTCTTATTTTGAATTCATTGAAAGCTGAAATGGTGGTTTATTGTAATGTTTATCTTCAATACACAGCAAGGCTCTGATGTTAAATAAGTGGTTTATAAGTTACATTTGATTACTGGATGGATAAATTCGATAAATTCACTGTAGATTTGAGAGGGGTTCTGGAAGTAATATACTTCAAGTAGAAGTTAATGTCAAAGGACTTGTGCATGCACTTCCTTTGCTTAGGAACTATGAATGCCATGAAGACAAATAGTTGGACCCCACACACCATTAGCCAAACATGGATTTGATGTGGGTTATTACTGTCCCGTGTTCATTTTTTTTTTCTAAAATATGTTCTTAACAGTGCCTAAAAGTAGAGATCACGCAATTGTGAAGAAAAATATGTTTTCCAAGGAGACACTTGTGAGCTCAAACCAAAATTTTTTAGTGTATAAAATTAACCCAAAATTAACTATTCTTTTTATAAAAGAGGATTACTAAAGCACAGTTTAAACATGTATTTATGAATCACGGGATTTAAAGTTCAGAGGGCTCCTAAGAGTTCAACTCTTCTTTCTCTCACAGTATGGCAGTATCACCCGTTTAGATTTCTGGACCATATGTGGTAACACTGTTCCTCGTTTCACTCATTGTAGGAGTACTCATCAAAAGCAAACCCACTCATTTTATAAATGTTTGAAAATACCTCAAAACAGTTATCTCCACATTATAGCTATAGCTTCTTACTGTACTTCTTATGGCATAATTTCTTAAAGTCCGCCACTGTCTGTATTCTCTCTTCTTGGCCATGATAGTTTGAAACTTTCCCTTTTAAAATGAAGTGGGTTAAGTAGAACACTCTATTCCAGATATACTTTTTGGTGGGTAAAGAGCACAGTTGAAATGAACTCTTTGGCTCTGTATAACATCCCTCCATAACGAAACTTAAGAGAGTTTGGGGTTTGTTTGTTTTTTTTTTTTGGTTTTTCCATTTTCCAGCACCATTATCACTGTTGAGTCATACTGAGCCTGTTGTTAACCAAAATATTCATTTCCTTCCACTTAATTCCATTGTCAGTTGAGAGTTTCCTCACCTGTTAGTAATACAAGTTACTTTTAAAGTATTTTAAAATATTAATATAATTTAAATAAATTCTGGGCATTAGTAGAGCAATCTACTTGTTTGAGAGTTGTATGTTACTGAGCATTAGGAAGTCTATTATTGTCCTGGCTCTACTCCAGACATGGTTTTTGATGATAAATCAATGACTTAATAAGCTACTGAACTTTTCTGGCCCTGTTTATGTCTGTTTTCAGAGTGTGTGTATCGTATGAAGTGTTCTCAAAATGAACCTTGAACACAGAAAATTCTATGTATTTTTAATAATAGTTTATTTACATAAATTAGCACTTTATTTTTGATTAAAATAAGTGGCTTTATTAAAAGAATTAATTAAAATATGTGATAAATTTGTATAGATCCAGAAAATAAATGTAACATTACCTTCACAAGAAGGCAACGGATGCCATCCAGATTCAGTGCATACAGAATCTCCTCTTTCACTGTATTCATAGCCCATGTTACATTTATATTGAAATCGTTCATTCTCCTTATAAATAATCTTCTGAGATATAGGAGATCCATGTATAACATCTGGGGATTTGCATGAAATTTCTAAATAGAAGGGATTAAATTCCAAAATGTTTATTGCAAATTAAAGGACTGTGACCAGGACATAATTATATGAAAACAGAAATGTTTCCATCAGGTAAATCAGTCAACCAAACAAAAGTTCTGTTTTGACTTGACCACTTAATAAATGATTTATCTGAAGAAAGTTAAAATTCTGATTAAAATTATTCTTCTAATTTTATTTAGTTTCAGGACAAATTAGCCTTCTTGAAATAAATAGTGACCAGTAACATTCATCAAGTGTATATATAAAATTGACCATAAATACAGTTTTATTGTGATGTTTTCACTGAATGACCTGCAAAAAATAACACATCTTCAAATTATTGGTAAGACAGCAATTATCAACAGGACTCTTTGTCAAAGACATTGATTTAACTCAGTGTCATTATACCTCTGAAAAGTAACTGACCTGTTTTTGTGTCATCACTATTTAGCCAAGATTTCCTCAGGAAAAAAAAAAAAAAGGCCATCATCTTTTATACCCACTTGTCTCAAACATTTTTACCTTGGATTATGCCAATCATTAGTTTCCCAAACTCTGTTCTCCCACTTTCTAATCCATTTTCCTTGTGTGTAGCTTAATGACCTCTCAAGTAGACACATCGTAACTCCACTCGAAATCCTTCATTGATTCCCAATTCAGTCTGAATAAAAGGCGTGTTCTTCAGCATGATGCATGCAGCACTCTGTATTGGCCCACCTTCTATTTATCACTGACTCACTCCCTACTTGCATTCTACACTAAGGTGCCTAGGAACAATGGACAAGAATCAGTGGTGCTTCATGCTCCTTAAAACCTTACTGCCCTTCCACTTCCCTTTCCCTGAACTCTGGTATGCTTTTGCTCTCGTTTTCATCTGCCAAATCTCATTTTTTTCTTTAAGACTTAATCGTAGGCATCAGCCATTCCAGGAAGGTTTCACTAACCACAAGAATCTAGTTGTAAGGATGTAAATTCCGTCCATGTACTTCTAAAGTACATGATATTTGCTATGCTAAATAAAAATATTAGTTTTTAACATAAAGAACTATTGTTGTTAGAAAGAGTTCTTAAGAAGGAAATTCTTTTCTCTGTATCTAACTATAAGATAGAAAAGACTTTAAAAGTAAAAATAATTTAGAGATTTTAGATAATATTGAAATATAAATATAACAGAAACTTCTGCCAAACATTTATTGGTAAAATGAACTTGCACTATGGTACTACTAAACAAATCAACCACGATTTTTACCACAGCAGCCAAAATCATTGATTGGTCATGATGCACAAGTTGGCAGTAGTATGACTAAAAATATTCTGGCTTACGGTTTACTATAAAACTTCTTTTAAGAGGCAATGATTTATTTAGTGGATTCTGTTCATTTCAGCAACATTTATAGTAAACTTGCAGTACAAATATAAAACAGGTCTGCTTCCCAGAAGTGTTATTCAAAAATGAATGTCATTTTAATGTATCTCTGGAAATACATAATGAATCTATGGCTTTCAAAATTAAAAACAAATGTCTATTCCAGAGGTCTTACAACTTGCAGCAAAAATGCTTAGCATTCTCTTTCAGCCTAAGAGGCAACTACAATGGAGCTATGGTTAAAGCATGGACTCTGGTGTCAGATAACCTACATTTAAATCCTAACTTGACTCTTTATGCCATGATAATCCAGGGCATGTATTTAACTTCTTTGCACCAGTCTCCTCAATTATAAAATAAAAGTGATGAGTAAATAAATGATGGAATTTTTTTGAAAGGTAAAATGAAATGATGCATGTGAAGAACTTAGCTCAATTACAGGCAGATAGTAAGTGCTCAATAAACATTAGCTATTGTTAATATTGCTGATACTCCTTAGAATGAACGATGTTTCAATGTATATTCACATTTGAAAAGCTAAAAATACTAAAAGAGTAAGTGTATCTTACCCACACACTTTGGTTTCTCTTTACTCCAAACACCATCTTCTGAACAATGCATTTCGTTATCTCCTTCAATCTTGTAGCCTGAGTTACATGCAAACCGTACTACTTGTCCAAAATAGTATTCCCGATCTGGTTCCATTGCACCACTGATAATTTTTCCATTCTCTGGTGGTTTCACTGGTAAACACTTCACAACTGAAGAAAATACATACAATGTTTTCTAACAGAATTTCAAAAGTTTATTGTGAAAAATATGTATATGCATAAAATCATCCTCAGGATAAGATTGGAGGAATGTACTTAAATTATTTTTAGAAGCATTTGATATACCTGTTTGCTAGAGATGCATGTTTCTAAGAAACAAGCAAATGGAATGTTTATTCCTGATTCTTTTCTATGGGAGTGGACAATGAAAATTACTACTTTCAATGCTAGCTTGTATTTTTGTAGTAACAAAGAGTATTTTTAAATAATTAAGAAATATAAAGCTTGAGATAATTAAATACAACATTTTCATTTATGCCCAAACATAATATAACACCGCATGCCTAAAAGATGTAAAAGCAAACGTTATGACATTAACTTCAATAGAGAAATCATCCTTAATTTTCTGTCCTCTTCGACTTCAGTGTTCAAAATAATTTGAGTACTTCTTTTGATTCTAATTAATATTTTCCAATTTCTCTAAGATTGTGGTCAAACTTTATCGTACTATCGAATGACTCAGGATGCCTGTTAAAATAAAAGTTTTAGGGATATCTTCCTGTATGCTCACGCCAAAGATACTGATTCAGTAGGGCATTTTTTAGTAACCAAAGATTTTAATTTTTAACAAGCATCCCAGGTGATTTCAATGTAGATGTTCTCTAGAACATTAATGTTCTTCCTCTCATCTTCATAGATGAAAAATATCTTCCATTCTTTTCTGTAGTTGACAGAATTTTTGAATGATTATCACACTTCTTCTGTATCTCTCTCCACTTACTACTTACTGTGGAATTAGGAAATACTACTCTGATTGATTTCTTTTATTTCCATAATGACTAGGGATTTGAATTATTAGCTCATAGCATGAAAACAGAATCTACGTTTTCTCATTTTCACTGTTTGCTTTATAGAACAGTAAGAAATAACAGAGCTCGCCCTTAGTTTATTCCTCTTTTCGGTAAAGGTAAGTTCACAGGCAACCTCCCTTGGTGGGAGGTCTCAGTCATGTTCTCCACTTCAGCTGTTACTATAGATCCCTGCATTTGGGTAGTTATTGGGTGAGTGCCTCTTCATTAATAAAGGTAAAATTCTGGTCTTCATTAGCATAGCTAATGATGCTTATATGCATTTCTAGCCATTAAAATCCAAAAGGAAATAAAAATGAGTTTTAGATTCTCTAATGTCTAATACTTCAATTATTAGATTAGATCAGGTTGCATTCATATTTGGCTTTTGAAACACCAAGAATGTAGTCATAAAAAGACTAGATTCCCATTCTACATTATATGAGAAACAAAAATAAATAAATAAAAATATTTAATTAGAGACTTTAAGATATTTCAATGTAAGACATTTTTTTAAATCTTAGATTATTTAAGGTATTTCAATATACTTGTAAATATATTTTATGTCTACCTTCACATATAGGAATATCATTGGTCCATCCATCTGTGTCACATTCACGGTAATTAATCTCACCTAGCAATTGATACCTGAAAACCCAAAAATAACAGTGTTGAGATAATGTGTGTTTATATGCAGTTTTAAATTCAATGCCATTCTGAGTGTTCAGAAACTCCATAGTAAGGAAAATGAACAGCATATACATTTTCTTGTTTCTTGTTTCTTGTCTTCCCTTCCTCCTTATCTTCCTCTTTCACTTTCTTAGATTTCTTAAGTTTCTCTCTTTCTTAATCTCTATCTCCCTTTATCTTTCTCTCCTTGGTGCATGGACTGAAAATAATCATAACCTTTGGTTCATGACAAACTCATTATTGTTTCATACAAAGTATTCTTATTTTTCATTGAATTATCTAATTAGTTAAATTCAATAATATAGTAAGCTCCATGAACTATCACAAAAACAAAAGCTAAAAATATCATAGTAACCAACAGCTATGTTTCCCTCTCCTCCAGTCTTAGACCATATTTCTTTCCTCCATGATTCTGATATTTTCTAAACACCTTAGGCTTTCTACATAATTTAAGATAGTGCCATCACAAAGTTGTTAGTGTGTGATTTACTTTCAGCACTTGCCTCCACCTCCCCATCTCTATCCTAGAGATTTTTTCCAGAGAATACCCAGTGAATCAAATCTGCTTATCTAATCCATCCAATGTTGAACTTAAGTAATTTTAATAACCCATGAAGCCTGCCTTTTGAATCTAAAAATGCTCTATATGAATATGAGCTCCCTGGGGCATGTGCAAAATGTGCAATCATTGCTAGAGGCTTCAGGTTTATACATTTTTATCTCCTTAGCCAAATCAAGTGCTGAACTTAAAGAGAGGACACAAGTCTGTGATAAAAACAATATTTCAGAGGTGAGAAAGGTAGCAAATTAAAAAATTCAGCTCCAGGAAATTATAACCTATTTGGTTATGTGTGATAAGATAAGCAGTAATGATTGCAGGGCTAAAAGTGTATTTGAAAAACCTCCCTGAGGTAGTGACTAAGGAGAGAATAAATTCATAAGAAATAATACTTATTTGGCATCTACAATATCTCAAGGTCTCTTCTAAGGGATGCAGATGTGTGTCTTATTTATTTTCCCTACCAATCCATGAAGCACATGAAATGTGTCTGTTTTGTAGGAAAGGAAATGGTAGCGAAGAGATATTTTTTTAAATACCCATAAATGTTAAGTGGAAGAGTTTCGAAAGGCAGGCTTACTCCAATGATTGAGTTTTAAGCTATTATATTTTATTGCTTCGAATTAAGGAAAAAAATGAGGAAAGAATGATGTTATTCCATTTGTAATATTTGGTTACATTTATATTTATGAAGTATAAGATTATAGTGATCTAATCCTAGTTTTCCCATATATAGATTTTTCTTCAAAATAATTTTTGATCTAGCAGAGAATAAGGGGGATAAAAGGACACTGAGACACTGAGGATACACAGTGATGATTTTGGCAATGAAAACCCAGCAGTTGGTTAGAAGGAACAGAGTCAATGATTCTGAAAGAGTAGTATTTTTAGTCCATGTGGTAAGAATAATTTGCAGACCTGGGACATTAAGTAACATTAGTTGTAAGTAAAACTTATAAGCAGGTAAAAGTCTTGCTTTCCTTAAATTTTATAAAATCTGTCAAAACAGTTATCATACAATATAAATTGGTTTCAATTCCTATTGTTCCTGTCACATTGAACTCCCATGATACTCTGCACAAAATAGAATGTCATGAAGACTTGTTGGGTGAATACTTATATATGTGCATACTGTTTTCCCACTCTCTTATAATTATACTCTACCAGAGAAGTTATACTTCATTTAAATTTTTCAGTGTTAAGGAGAAAATATGTTATCCAGATTTAATTATTTTCATCATAGTTAAATTTTCAGGTACTTGCATGTTACATTTTAAAATGTCCATACAAAAATATAATAACCTTAAAATATATAAACTAGTACAGTTCCTATTTACTATCTTAATTATAAACCTCTTTTTGTATGGACTACATACCCCTCATTACATGTATACACAGCTTTTACACCATATTCAAACACATTTCCTCCTATGAGGCTAAAATAACCAAAGGGAGTATCTCCAGGATGTCCACAGGGCCTTTCTAAAATGAAAACAAAAAAAGTTATAAATTAGTATGTAATAACAAGGAATATATTTTATGTAGAAGTGGGGGTACAAGTATATTTGATATTATATAAGAAGACAGATTGAATACAAGGAAAATTAAATATAGTAGAGCTATTATTTCATAATTGAACTTAAACTATATGCTTGCTTTTTTAATTTTGGAGGAAGACCACCCCTTTTTGAAAGTGATGATATATTGGCTGGGCACAGTGGCTCACACCTGTAATCCCAGCACCTTGGGAGGTCAAGGTGAGTGGATCACGAAGCCAGGAGTTCGAGATCAGCCTGTCCAGCATAGTGAAACCCCATCTCTACTAAAAATACAAAAATTAGCCAGGTGTGGTGGCACGTGCCAATAGTCCTAGCTACTCGGGATGTTGAGGCAGGAGAATTGCTTGAACCAGGGAGGCAGAGGTTGCAGTGAGCCGAGATAGCGCCACTGCACTCTAGCCTGGCAATAGAGGGAGACTCCATCTCAAAATTGCACCACTGCACTCCAGCCTAAGTGAGAGAACCAGACTCCATCTCAAAAAAAAAAAAAAAAAAAAAAAAAAAAAAATGTATAATGTATTATTTTGTATTTGAGCAGCAACAGTGATATAATTCAGCCATAATTGCTATAATATAAAATCTTAAGTATTTTTACAACCAAAAGTTTTCATAAATTTCACAAATGTATGAAGTACTTACTCTGACATTTCTTTAATGGATTAAGAGCAACCCATTCTCCCTTCCTGCATACCATTACTATATTTCCAAGAGATCTATATCCAGGGCGGCATTTATAGGTAGCCTGAGTGCCTTCTGGATATGTATGGTCAGGCCAGGAACCTGTCAGAATTTCTGTATTTTTTCTTGGAGGAAGTTCCTTGCAATCTAAAAAAAAATAAAAACAAAATAAGTGCATAAAGTATCTATTTAAATGTACAGTATGTTTCGGTAATTGTTGCTTTAAAAAATGTCTAGACAGTTACAGACCTACCTAAATTTTCCTCTCTCTCTCCCATATCTATGGAGTAAACATACATTTCATGCATGTACTGTAAGTATACCTTTCACCTTATAAAATTTGTATCTACATAATTTTATAAGAATGTTTACTGTGGAAGAATACCTAAAAATCTTTGCAAAGCAATAGATATATTTTGTTATACTACTCTTAATTGCTGGAGAGCATTCTACTATTCTTCCATTAATTTGGGAAATATTTATTGAGCACTATTGTAAGTTGTAAAGCAAAAACAATGAAGAAACAAGTTATCTGTTCTCAAAGCATTTCCATTCTAGTAGGGAAGCCAGTTATTTAATAAATAGTCAAAGAGATGTAAAATATGAATTACAGGTAGAAAAATTCTATTTACAAAAATGAAGCATGATAAGTTAATACAAAATTATATGAGCTCTCCAAATAAGATAGAATAGGATGGAAAAGAACAACGTTTCTACTCCAGATTGGAACAACAACAAATTGTGTGTGCATGTGTACACTCAAAGTTGTGGGAGCAAAGAGGATTAAATGAACAAAATCCAAGTAGGAAGGACCTGTTTCAAGTAAATATAGGGTCTCTGGCCATTTTTTACCTGGTTATGTTTGTCAACTCTGGATATGGATTGAAGATCCTTCCTCTGAATGGAAGAATGGTAATGAGGTAAGAAAGAACCAAACATAAGGAGGTTATATCTAGCATGAAAAATTCTGAAACTTTGCCAAATCAGGTTGCTTTGCTACAGTCTAGGTAGCTTCTTACAAGAAGACTGACTTTCCCATTGTCTCATAGAAAAAAAGTCTCAATAAGAAAAGGGATCTGACTCAAATACACAGCTAGCATTCTCATCAAAATATGCCATATTTGAAAGTCACTCTGGGTGATATTTAAGAGCAGTTGTCAAAACAGCAGAAAAGCTGTATACATATATGTATTTATGTATATACATACATATATACACATGTATTATTTATATACAATAAAAGTTCTTTATATATATGTTTGCTTTTCTGCTGTTTCATATATATATGAGCATTTAAGATTATATATATAAGAGCAGATGTCAAAACAGCAGAAAAGCAAACATATATAAACAACTATTATATATATATCATATGCTCACATACATAATATATATGTGTTGGCTTCTTCTATCTCAAAAGTCTAATATATATACACACACACATATAGTATAATATATACATATATATATATATATGTATATACTCTGTGTGTGTGTGTGTTTGTCTTTTGGGATAGAAGAAACCAACCAGACTCTAGATTTTAAAAACCCAAGAAGGTTTAATCTTTGAGACTTTAGAAACCAGAAGTGGAACTGACTCAAACTAAAAGTGTTACCCAGGTCCCTCTGAGTTAAATTTTTGAGTGGCTCAAGAAAGAGCAAACAATCTTGTTGGTGAGAGTAAGTTACATAAACTTTGCTCATTACATATTTTTGTTTAAAAATACAATCTTGAATAAAAATTAAAAGATACATAAAGAAGCAAAACAGCTGTGAACGAAAAAGAGAAAATAAATATTCAGTAGAACTAGACACTCAGATTCAGATGTTAGAATTAGTGTTAAGGTCTTTATAACAGCTATTTTAGGGACATTAAAGGAACTATAGAAAGTAGATGTAAATTTTAAGAAGATATTCAAAATAAAATTGACTATAATAAATCGGTGTTATCTTAAAATTGCATAAAAAATCAGAAATAACAACTTGTCAGATGGTGTTAAGAATCAAATGGACATAGCACAATACAAACTTGTTAAACTTAGAGGAAGTTTAATGTAAAAATATCCAAACTGAAGTATGGAAAGACAAAAGTGTATAAACAACAACAAACAAAACAGAGTACAAAAAAATATGTGGTGTAAAGTTATAAAACATGTGTAATTGGAATTCTAACAACACAGAAGAGAATGAACATAGGCAATATTTGAAGAAACAATAGCTCAAAGGTTTCCAAAATTGATGAAAGAAATCAACTCACAAAATCAAAATTTCAACAAACCCCCAAAATGCTATATACCAAGAAAACCTATACTGATACTCTGCTGAAAACCAAAGATAAAGGCAAAATCTTGAAAGCAGATTGTATTAGTCCATCTTTGCACTGTTATAAAGAAATACCCAAGACTGGGTAATTTATAAATAAAAGAGATATAATTGACTCACAGTTTCACATGGCTGGGGAGGCCTCAGGAAACTTACAATCATGGTGGAAGGGGAAGCAAGGACCAGACCTCTTCACATGGGGTGGCGGGAGAGAGAAGTGCAAACAGGGGAAATGCCAGATGTTTATAAAACCATCAAACCTCATGAGAACTCACTCACTATCATGAGAACAGCATGGGAGAAACTGTCCCGTGATCCAATCACCTCTCACTGGGTCCGTTCCTCAACACATGGGGATTATCAGGATTACAATTTAAGATGAGATTTGGGTGGGGACACAGAGCCTAACCATATAATTCTGCCCCTTGCCTTTTCCAAATCTCATGTCCTCACATTTCAAAACACAATCATGCCTTCCCAACAGTCCCCCAAACTCTTAACTCCCTATAGCATTAACCCAAAAGTCCATGCCCAAAGTCTCATCTGAGACAAGGCAAGTTCCTTCCACATATGAGCTTGTAAAATCAAAAGCAAATTAGTCATTTTCAAGATACAATGGGAGTACAGGCATTGGGTAAATGCTCCCATCCCAGATGGGATGAACTGGCTAAAACAAAGGGGCCAAAATCTCCATGAAAGTTGGAAATCCAATAGGGAAGTCATTAAACCTTAAAGTTCCAAAACAGTTTCCTTTGATTCCATGTCTCACATTCAGGTCACACTGATGCAAGAGGTGAGCTCCCACAGCCTTGGGCAGACCTTCCCCGATGGTTTTGCAGGGTATGGCCCCCTTTCTGGCTGCTTTCACTGCTGGCATTGAGTCTATGTGGCTTTTCTAGGCACATGGTGCAACCTGTCAGTGGATCTACCATTCTAGGGTCTGGAGGATCGGTGGCCCTCTTCTCACAGCTCTATTAGGTAGCGCCCCAGTGGGACCTCTGTGTGGGGGCTCCAATCCTACATTCTCCCTGCTCATTGCGCTAGCAGAGGTTCTCCATAAGGCCTCCTCCCTTTCAACACACCTCTGCCTGGACATCTAAGCATTTCTACACATTCTCTGAATCTAGGTGGAAGTTTTGCATTCTGTGTACCCACAGGACCAACACCATGTGGAAGCTGCCAAGGCTTAGGACTTTCATCCTCTGAAGCAATGGCCCAAGCTGTATGTTGTCCCATTTTAGACATGGCTGCAACTGGAGCAGCTAGGATACAAGTCACCAAGTCCTGAGACTGCACACAGCAGTGGGGCCCAGGCCTGCAAAACCATTTTTCTTTCCTAGGCATCTGGGCCTGTGATGGGAGAAGCTGCCTTAAAGATCACTAACATTCCCTGGAGACATTTTTCCTTTGTCATGGTGATTAACATTTGACTCCTCATTCCTTACACAGATTTTTCCAGTGGGCTTGCATTTCTCCCAAGAAAATTGAGGTTTCATTTCTATTGCATCATCAGGCTGCACATTTTCCAAACTTTTATGCTCTGCTTCCCTTTTAAACATAAGTTCCAATTTCAGATCAACTTTCTCAATGTTCAAAGTTCCACAGATCTCTAGGGAAGGGGCAAAATGTTGCCAATCTCTTTGCTAAATGATCTTTGCTCCAGCTCCCAATAAGTTCCTTGTCCCCATCTGAGACCACCTCAGCCTGGACTTCATATTCCAGATCACTATCAGCATTTTGGTCTAAAGCATTCAACAAGTCTCTAGGAAGTTTCAAGCTTTCCCACATCTTCCTGTCTTCTTTTGAGACCTCCAAACTGTTCCAACCTCTGGCCATTACCCAGTTCCAAAGTCACTTCCACATTTTGACGTATCTTTATAATAGTGCCCTACTACTTCAGTACCAATTGACTGTATTAGTCCATTTTACACTGCTATAAAGAATTACCTGAGACTGAGTAGTTCATTAAAAAAAGAAGTTTAATTGACTCACACTTTCACATGGTTGGGGAGGCTTCAGGAAACTTATAATCATGGTGGAAGGTGAAGAAGAAGAGAGGACTTTCTTCACATGGTAGCAGGGGAGAGAAGTACAAGCTGGGGAAATGCCAGATGCTTGAACCATTAAATATCATAAGAACTCACTCACTATCATGAGAACAGCATGGGGCAAACAATCCCCATGATCCAGTCACCTCCCACTGAGTTCTTCCCTTGACATGTGGTGATTATGGAGATTATAATTTAAGATGAGATTTGGGTGGGGACACAGAGCCAAACCATATCACAGACAGAGGAAACTTTTTTTTTTTTTCAGGAGAATAGTAAAAATAACAGCCAAGTCTGTGGAAGTAAATACTGAAGTCTGAATATATATGTCTTCGCATCACTAAAGTGTTGAAAATTAAAAGTCAGCAGAGAACTCTATAAATGGTGAAAATATACTTCAAAAATGAAAGAGCATGCAAACACATTCTTAGGCAAACAAAAGCAGAAAGAATTCAACAAGAGCAGACTCAGCTATATAAAAATACTGAAAAAGTTATCTGGGCTGAAGGAAACTGATCTAAAATATAAGCAAAGAAGTACAAAAAGGAATAAGCAGAACTGAAGAAAATAAACAGATGAGTAAATAAAAAAGCTATTGAAACATGATAAACATGCTATGTATATTTTACTCAAATGAAAAAGAACCTAGACTGTTTAAATCAATAATGACCATGTTTAATAGTGTTTTAAATAAATTCAGGAGTATAATATGAAACAATAATAGCAAAAGTGTCAGGAAAAGGTAAAGCAAATAAAAGTGTTGTGATATTTTCCCCA